TAAATATAATATCCATTTAATGAATGCGATTATGATTCTATCTTCTTTTGATGTCAAATTTTTGATATTAACAAGTATCAAAATAATTCTTTCTAATTTTAAATATTGCCTACAGGCTGTCCATGAATTGTGTGTACAGGTTTTGAACCATTTTTGACCCATTCTTTTCTGTTGTATACAATGATGTACCCTACTTTTGGAAAACCTCCTCCTCTAATTATAAGTATAGGGTGTTTTTTTTAGAGGTATACAAATTTAAAATGAAATAAAACACATAAAAATAATGTTAATGGCCATGGTGTTGGCTTTATTCAAAAGATAATTTTATGCCATTAGTGTTTAAACATGATTTCAGGTATATGGGTGCCATGGCTGGCTCGAATGAAGTGCAATTAGGAAGAACAATATTCTACCACTTTATCAAGCAACTGGGGTCGTATATCGGCAATAACACAGCGAATGTTGAGTAACTTACATCCATTAAAAGTCACTGTTTGGTGTGCTTTATGGGCAGGTGGAATCATAGGCCCATATTTCTTTAATGATGATGCCGGCCAGAATGGTACCATCAATAGAGAGTGCTTTTGAAGCCATGATTGCTGATTTCTTCATTCCTCAGTTGAATGGTATTGATGTGGCAGAGCTTTGGTTTCAACAAGATGGCGCAACATGCCACACAGCACGCGACACCATCAATTTATTGCAGGAAACATCCAATGAGTGCATAATTTTGCATAATGACCCTGTGAACTGGCCTCCACGATCATGTGATCTCACACCTATGGATTACTTTATTTGAGGATATGTGAAGTCACTAGTCTACGCCGATAAACCACGAACATTGGACCACTTGAAAGTCAACATTCGCCACGTTACTGCCGATTTACGGCCCCAGTTGCTCAACAAAGTGGTCGAAAACTGTTCTTCCCAATTGCGCTTCATTCGAGCCAGCCATGGCACCCATATGCCCAAAATCACGTTTAAACACTAATGGCATAAAATTAGCTTTTAAATAAACCCAACACCATGGCCATTAACATTATTTTTATGTGTTTTATTTCATTTTAAATTTGTATACCTCTAAAAAAACACCCTGTACAATAGTTAATGAACCCAAAAACTGAAAAATTAAGAAAAAAGTTCTGTAAAATATAAATATACTGTAATAAAGGGTTTATTAAACAGTACATACAAAAAAGTACATTATTGTAAACAATGGGGAGGAAGAGAATTGAGGTAAATGTGAATAAACCCTCAGAAAATTTCTGAGGGTTTGTTCACATGACTTGGTAAGTAGGCTTATAAGCAAAACTTTGTATACCACTAATATCACTAAAAATAGTCCATGCAAAATAACACCTCAATCCTCTTCCTCCCCATTGTTTACAATAATGTACTTTTTTGTATGTACTGTTTAATAAACCCTTTATTAAACAGTACATACAATTAATGGACAGCCCCTATTTATTTTTTCTCATAATAAGTAAGTTTTTAATTAGGTTTCTGTTACTGGTTTTTTGTAGACTTTAAAGAATTAAAAGCTATTGGCTTTCTTTCTTCAGTAACACATCACACAAGGAACAGTTGATTTATGTATTTTTTATTAAAGGAAATGCATTTCGGGTCTTAATGACCCCTCTTCAGTCCTTAGACTTTACAAAAAAAAAGAAGATCGATATTGGTTACATTATACAGAATAATACATATAATATTTTAACAAAATTTTTTGAAAATAACTTACATAGTTGATTGTTGGTTACAATTGACATTAGAGAATATGTTGAGTAATTGACTTGGTAATCAGTTATCTAGGATTGCTGCAGGGTTCGGATCATCTTTGAGTATGCTGTTGCATTTGTAGAATGAAGTTGTATCTATATGGGAGGGCAGGGTAGAAGGTTCACCAGGTTCACCAGACGGTCTGGTGAATCTATCCTGCCCTCCTATATAGATGTATCTGGGAGAGGTGGGGCGGGATGGAAGAGCACATGTGGATACTATCTGTTAGGGAGGAGGGGTTTCCAGATGTCACTAATGGTTAGACAGTCGTTTAAGTTTATTTTATAAGTTTTTATTTTTGTGATTTCAAGACATTCATATAATTTCCTTTTTATACTATTTTTTCTATTCTGAGTATTTTTAGATTATTAAGTAAGATCTCGCAATCTGCACTACTGCAAGGTATGGCTACAGCAGAATTAATGTAATTAAATTTAATAGCATGTGAATGTTCTTTTAGTCTAATTTTTAGGGTTCTTCCAGTTTCACCTATGTACTGATAATCCGGTTTGCAGCTACAGGATATTCCATAATATATATGATGTTATTTTGTTGCATAATGTTGATATTTTTTTGAACAATATTTTCATTAGTTATTAGTAATTTTTTGATATTATTAGTAAATTCAGGGGCTAGCATTATGTTATGTGATTTTAATAGTTTTTAAATTTTTTCAAAAATTGTAAGGACTGAAGACAGGTCATTAAGACCCAAAATGCATTTACTTTAATAAAAAATACATAAATCAACTGTTCATTGTGTGATATGTTACTGAAGAAAGAAAGCCACTAGCTTTCAATTCTTTAAAGAAAGTTTTTACTATCTATATCAGTAGTGTTACCACCCGTCCAGTTTTCACCCGGACAGTCTGGGAATTGACTCACTGTCTGGGTGAACTATTAATTTTGTCCGGGAATTTCGTAGTGTGAAATTATGATGAAACAAAGTTCTTGCAAATATTTTTACAAATTTACACTATTTTAATAGCAAAAGAACTCACAATCACTGAAACTCATCTGCAATTCTGCCATGTTAGTCTGTGTTTACACTGACATGTAGTGCACAACCTGTCAACCTTTTTTTTTTTTCTTCTTTTTTTCACGTATGATTGTACATGTCTCCAATATCCAATAGAGCTGTCGTCTGTACCTGTTCTTTCTTAATTTAGGGTTACTTACGTTACTCCTACGCAAGTCTCTAGTCCCTAACTATAACTGATTTAGAACTGGTATGTATGTTATTCTTCGCATTGTAAAATGACATTGTGCATGCATCAGGAACTTCTGTTTGAACAAACCTGACCTGCCGTCTGGGTCAGCAATTTTGAAAAGGTGGCAACACTATATATCAGGGGATTTCAAACTCAAACACTGCATAAGACCAGTCAAATAGATATATATCAGATGCAGGCCATATTTGATATTATTTGGTAAAACAAAACATACTGTAACTTTAACAAAAAAGGCTCTAACAAAAGCTCTGAGTACAAAAATATTTGTACACACATATTCATACAATTGTAGGATTTTTTCAAACATTCAATCTCAGTGACCTCAGAAACGTGATTCTGAGTGTTATCACTATACGCCCCAAGAGCTTCATATAATTAATATTTTTAATCATTTATGTCAGATTTGAAAATTAAAGATTTATTACATTGGTCTTTATATACTATTCTTCATATAAATGTCACATGGGATTCTAATTTTATTCTAATTCTTTATAAATATCTAATATAGTTATAAATACATAATATTAAACTACAGTAAATTAAATATTCAAAAACCATCAAAACAACTTATTTTTGAATGTTTGTATTATAATTGATACTAACTTTTCCAGTTTTTTTTATATAATTTACATTATATACAGTTATCTCATTCAAAGTGAAATAATTAAGTAAAAAAATATTTCAAATATTTATAAAATACCAAAATAACTGGCAAACTTGAAACACTTTATGTATTAACATAAATTATTTACAATTAGTAACTTACAATAATCGTAAAGAAACTATTTCACGTTCGTATAAGATTCTTATCTTTAAATTTTTAAAAACCAACATCAATAAACAATAATCTAATTCCAATTGACAGTTATAGAAGGAACAAAAAAACTTTCAGTCCTTTAAAAAATATTTAAATAAAAGCTAATAATTTCACTTTTCTTTAATACACATCCCAACTACATAGTTTCTGTATGGGGAACAATATATTATCAGAAGTGTCAATTTCATAAATAACTGTAAAAAATATACACACCAATCAAAACCCGATATTAAGCAAATATACTCCCACAACTGCTGTAAATGATCAGGCTAAATTTGTTAAGCAAATAAACTATTACAACTGCTGTATGTTTGCTTAACAAATTTAGCCCGATCATTTACGGCAGTTGTGGGAGGAGTATAATTGTAAGAGGAGGGACTCGAGGTCCGAAATGCATACTTCTTTGGAAAAATAAATTGATTTTCCGAGGCCAATCTTGTGTTCAGTGACAGTAAAGTAAGTCTAGAAATAAAGAGGTCAACATAAAGCTCACAAGTATATACCAAGCTAGACAAAAAACATATTATAGTATAGTGGAATGTATTTATTTATCAAATACTAGTCTCTAGAAGTTATGCAACCCAAAAACACCTGATAAAGAAAGCTGAAAACATTAATTTTTGATTAAACATTGATATACAGTTGAAAGTTTCTAATTCTACAGGTGCCAAGTAATTTTGTTCCTTTATATATATTTGTTTGTTGTTTGTGTGTGTGTGTGTATATTATATAGTAACTAATTTATATTATTTATTCGCTTCAGTTTTATAAATTTAAGTAACTTGTTAGCAATTCTTGCATTCTTTATCTCAAATAATAAATGACAGAAAGCAATTTTTCTTTCATCGCATTTTTTTTTTTGTTGCCATTTTTGTTTTGACTATAAAAATGCAATTCATGCTTACTTTCCGTTACAAATTGTTTCATAATTTGTTCTGCTTTAACAATCGCGTGCTTTGTAACAACAATTTTGTATGACATATCCCTCGAGCGTTATCATTACTGTAAAAGAAGTTTGAACGAGAAAAATGTCAATTTCGTCTATCCGAAAACAAAAGGATAAATTACGTCACATATACGTAATTGACATTATTTTTAATTGACTTTTAGCTAATGGTAAGCTTATATAATGATTTTAAGGAAAATTTAATTATAATAAAATCAACTACTTACCTTTAACAATTAGCAAATTTTTGACGAGTTTGATGTTTCAGGACGCATTTAAACCTGAAGAAACAGTGTTGCCAGAAAGACGTCGTAAAATAATTTTATTTATTTATAATTTCATATATTTTATTTAATTTTATACATTTTACAGTCAATAATAAATAATATAAATAAAATAAATTGAATAAATTTATTTTGTTAATTAAAAATTTATTAAAAAGATAATTGAGCGGAGCTCTGATATGCCGGAAAGTGTTTTGTCCGCGATCGAAGCTTAAAACAACCGCACAGTTACCAAACACAATTCATTGTAAATATGTGCAACTCGGTAAAGCCGATGTCGTGACGAAAGCGAAATTATGAAATTTGATCAATAGGCTGAGATATTCCGGGTCAAAATTCTCCATGTAAAGTCTATGGAGTCGATTGCCGGTTGTAAGCTGGTCGCGTGGTACCTGTACATGTCAATCGAGTTTCCGATTGATGTCAATTTACGTTGATTTCTACGACAATTTTTTATTTTAGATTCGCATCAGTTTTAAACCGTTTCTTCGTAAAATTTTAGTTATCCACACCGCGGAGTTCAGTTTTGTTTTTTAAACAAATACCAAGTAAAATTCTCATATTGTAATAACTGCTTAAGAATATTTAACATCAGTCATTCAATTTTACAGTATTAACAACACGTTTACGGTTATTCGATCGTTGGGATCTGTTGGGTATTCGATCGTGTTAACAACGAGGGCGATCGAGCGCAGAGGACCGGGGCCCAACTAGCGAGCACGAAATAGTAATAGAGGAAACTTTACAAAGAATCGGCTGAAGCCGATTGCCGCCTTAAATGATGATCCAAAAAGTCCGATTGTGTAAATTGTGTGACTTGGAGGATGATCTAAAAAGTGCAATTAAGATGAAGAAAAATTAAGCATCCCTTATATATCCGCCAGACAAATGTTTTATAGTGTTCCCGGTGCATCTACAAACTCGATATCCTAACTATGATCTTTCTTGTAGAACGGCTACCTTATGGCTCCGAATGTCCCCATATGGTGGTAATCGAGTACAAATTAAAATTATGCGTTAGACGCAATTGAAATTTTAACCAGACAATTTCTCTATTTGGCTATATTTTATACACTCATTGCTATAAAATTTAGCGCACCGAGGAGTTGCCGGAATCGAACGAAATTGTATTGATAAATGTGTTCGTGTAACTATGATATAAGTGATTACAAAATGAAAGCAAAAAGATTATTTATTGCAGCAGAGGCCATGCGGTAGATTTTCTAAGTATGATGCAAGTCTTTGAAATTCTGCCCCTTAAATGTTTTTTATGCCGCCCCCTCACGGTGCCGCCTGATGCGGCCGCATCTCTGCATCATACCACGGCACGGCCCTGTATTGCAGGAATAACTATAAATGTTTGTTTTACTTAAGTTACGGCAACGCAATACTTCGGCCTTTTGCCTAGGGCACTTTTTAAGGGTAACCGGCCCATATTCAGGCGTTAGACGTGGAGAAAACCCACACCGAAAAACTCCACGTGGCCACCCGTCCGGGGAGGTGTGAACCCACGACCGAACTACCAGTGTTCGGAGACCGGAATCGTCTGGCACTGGTGGGTCCTGAATATTTTTTTTAATATTCTTTCCGCCCTGTGGGCAATAAGAGGGCCTCTTATAACAGGCCCATTATGGGTTCGGCCTGGCCCACAATGGGCGACCGGGTGGTGAGGGACAGGGCCCGACATATCCGGGNATTTAAAACTGTTGTTTTGAAAACTTAATTTCAATTTATGGAGTTCGTTTTAAGTCGTCTCACGCTAATTTTCCAGTCATCTAAATGTCTAAAAACATATAAGGAATTAAATCATAAAAAGGGGATTGATTGGATTAATGAAATGACGCAGCGGAATTAGGTTATCTGTCAATGGTTCTGGGAAGATATTTTATTGGAAACTGGCTCTTATTTAGGTGTCAGACACACGAAAAAAATCCGGCAAGCTCATCTATGTTGGTCAGGCACGCGACCAACTTCCAACGTTTAATGGTTTTATCTACTCATCCACTGGAGGGATCAGACCCTTTACAACTCGGTCAAATTAACTTACACAGATATTAGTTTACATTAAGGATAAGAAAATTATTATAACATCGAGTAACAATAAAGAATAAACTTCATTTGCTGTAAAATCATTGAAAAATGTTTTTATAATATATATTTCACCATCACATTTTTACTCCTTTAAAAAAAGCGTGCTTATCATCATCATCTCTCACAACTATCATAAAATTGAATTTGTTTTGATTGAAATTACACTTACATTAATCGACAGGAAAGAATTATCTTTCTTGTAAATTAATTTATTAAAATCTAAACATTATTATAAATTCTGACTTTTATCAAATAAAATTCAATTTAGGACAGATTTGTTTATACACTAATCAGATCTTAATAATATTTTCAAGTGTTACATTACTCAAATTACAAGTAAAACACGTGTTTATGCATATACATGTTTGTACACGTAATATGTAAAAGCCTTTTAAAGGACCATCAGGAGGAGGTCAACCTCTATTTTTTATTGAATATGAAAGAATGTGAGCGAATATAAAACAGATTTAAAAGAAATATAAAATTTATTAGAATATGAATTATTTTCTGTGACCTAAATTTACTCACATATTTTATTATGTCAAGGATGCAATATTAAATTTTCCGACCATCGCTAGGGTTTAATATATGAATATCATTTGCACGGAAATCTAAGTACGAATAAAAAGTTGATATACAAAATAATAATTCAAAACAATTTTTAAGTCTAGTTTTTTTTTTTGAAATATTATTCGTAGAAATAAAATTATTCACTTGATTTATAAGATTGAAAACTATAAGGTAATAAGTATGACGTGCAATTATTTATTGTAGCATGGTGACAATGCCGGGTTGCAATTTTTAATCATATTTTTAATTTATTTAATTTAAAATATATGCTCTCCATCTCAAATTAGCAGTGGCTTGCCCTTGTACACCATAGTTTTCCCTTTAACAATAGAGTCGTACTGATCATCTATCTAACATCTTTTAGGTGAACATTTTTGAATTGAAATAACATTATTTCATGTTTGCATCGGAAGTTCTTATATAGTTAATTGGAGCCTCCTGCCCCTAGGCTTTCCATATCTGTCTCGATTCTCATTCTCCCCCTTTTTCTAATTTCTAAGGCGGCCAAGAACAACAGAAAATTCGTGACTTCTAGCCTATCCTGCATATGTAAAAGTAACTACTGAACGATATTTGTCCATTGACCCATGAAACTTCATCATATGTTGATCAAAATCCCATAAAGTACGTCCGTCGTAAAGAACATTAAGAATTATTCATAGAATATCGTCGGACAATTACTCTAGAAATGTATAGGCTATTGAGAAATTTTAGAATACCTCAATACAGAATATTTCAACAATAATATTGTCAAACAAACAGTGTCGAGTGCGTAATTTCGGGTGAGGATTTTATGTCAAGTGAGAATTGTTGCGCTAATGCGAAACATTTTCAAGAGAAAACACATTGACTATCGCTACTGTTTGACAGCGTAAGTTATACCCTTTTTTGCGATTTATTTATTTTAATAAACTTAAAAATAATATATTTTAAATTATAATATTAGTATATAAAATTTTAAGTTTCATAAATCTAAGGTTGCATGCAACTACCGAGACTATTGTAAAAAATGAAGTGGAGTTTTTATTATCTAAATTGAAGCGAAAGTGGTATAATTTCTAGATTATAAAAAAGGTAACAAATGTTAAATTTAGTAAATTTATAGCTTAACGTATGTAAAAAAAAAAAAAATTAAAAACTTTATGACACTGAACAAAAACATCAGCTTTCATTCTTAATAACAAAAAAGATAAACCTAAACTATTTTATTATGGTCCATTTATTTCTGTAAATTCTGGTTCTTGTATTTTTATTCTTTTCAGTCAGTTAAATAGTTTACAATTTATAAAAATAATATACTTTTACAGTAAACTTGCAAAAGCTGGAATCTGTATAAGACGGAAACCTCCTAGAAGTAGAAGGTTCAAATATTTTTCAGAGAAACGATTACATTAGCCAAGAAATGTTCTATGAAAGCAAAAAATTCGTGTTTTGTATTTTCTCATCATTTTGCATCGTTATTTTGAGCTTTTACTTTTGTGCTTGTGAATTATACGAAATTGTAAACCTTTAAACTAAAGAGGAAGATGACAATGATGATGAAGAAGAAGATAAAGATTAGCTAATAGAAGAGGCCGAGCCTTTAAATCAAACACAAATTTACAAAAACTTGAAGGAATTCGGAAAACTAACTACAAACGTTTTCGATTTTGATTTAGGTCACCCTCAGCTTATAGAAAAATATAGTAGAATATTTTTTCATTTAAAAATTACAAAAGTGAGTATAAGAAGAAAGAAAAGAACAAAAAATCTAAGAGGAAAGCTACACGAATAAAAAATCCAGAAACGAGTTGCATAACTTTCTCAGAAGAAAGTTAAAATTATTTGTGACCCCATCTGTTATGAGATTTTATTTTAAAGTTTTTTTATATTATTAATTGTTGTATACTGTAATTGGAAAAAAGCTTAATTTTGAGAATAGGAATGAATTTTATAAAATATTTTAAATGCTAATAACAATTAAAATCGTCATCAAGTCCGACTGCACTTGAGATATGACACACAATCCCTTCTATCTCCTCACCCCCTCGAACTTTAACCACCAAAATTTAATAGCATTAATCCCTCTAATACACAAACCTCTATGCAAACTTTCAAAAATTTTCAACGAAAGGCACAGGAATTATTAAACTTTAAATTGGATGAATCGTGCCCTTCACACACATCCATCCATACATATATAGCCTATGGTAAAAACCTTCAACTTATTTTTGCATTTTGAAGGTTCCCCGAGTCCAAAAATATAAAAATCTTGGGAGGGGATAATTTTTTTATTGCCGTACTTTCCCTCTGTTATATATAACAGTCGGGAAAGTAATAAAGTTAAATTAACCGAATTTAGATTTTTATAAGATTGTCAAAAGGTAGAAACTGT